ATCAACAACTCGTGTCCCGGCAGCTGCAGTTGGCAACAATAGCAGAAAAAAATGGAACAGAGGGCTGTCAAAGCAAAAGAGATGGACACTAAAACTAACAGCGATCTCAAAGAGACAAGGAGGAAAAGCATGAGAGAAACAGAAAATTACAAGGACTTAAATCCTTCCTTGCAGGTGTCTTCAGAAAGTGTTATCTTATACCCAGATGATAGAAAAGAGTTTGAATCTGCCCCCAAGATCAAGAAGCCTTTGAGATGCCACTGGGCCCTGAGGATGAGACCAAAGAGGAAGAGGCTGAAGATCGGCGGTTTTATCCCTTTGGAGACAGAGGAAGACTGGGCTGCAGAATTTCGAGTGAATGTCTAAGAAGCCATCAAGATTTTAGAGAGAATTAGCATAGATGTAAAGGCAGAAGGACTCTGAAAATTGCCTTTATGAAGCGAGCTGGAGGAGATGCTCTGGGGATCTTCTCATAACAAGTAATAAACTAACACATAAGCTTAGAAAGCCAGGATCTCACAAAGTATATTGTTTATTAACAGCTTTTTTTATTACTAACTGTAGTTTAACAGGGTAATGATCTCCTACTCTTGGGTGTTTAGTAGTGTGGGCTACTTTCCTTTCTCCCTAGTTGTAGTTCCTCCCCCTTTTTTTTCTTTGTAGTTTGTGTAGTATTATAAAAAAATTAAAAAATCCCCTCCAGGGGCTTAAAAAAAAAGAAGGAAAAAGAAAAGAAAAGTGACATGTCCTTCTCTCCTCCATTTTAACCTCACAACAACCCTGTGAGGTAGGCTGGGCCAACAGGGTGTAACTGGCCTGAGGTCACTCATCAAAGTTCCATGGCAGAGTTGACATTCAAACCAGGTTTCCTAAAGAGCCAGTGTGGTGTAGTGGTTAAGTGTGCGGACTCTAATCTGGGAGAACCGGGTTTCATTTCCCACTCCTCCACTTGCACCTGCTGGATGACCTTGAGCAAGCCATAGTTCTGATAAGAGCTGTCCTTGAAAGAGCACTTCTCAAAAGAGTTCTCTCAGCCCCACTTACCTCACAGGGTGTCTGTTGTGGGGAGGGGAAAGGAAATGAGTTTGTAAGCCCCTCTGAGACACCTTTCGGTAGTGAAGGGTGGGGTATAAATCCAATCTCCTCCTCCTCCTCCTCCTCTTCTTCTTTGGTCCCTCATCAAAGTTTCACGGCAGAGTTGGCATTCAACCCAGGTTTCCTAAATCCAAGCCCAATACTCTAACCACTGCACCACTCTAGCTCCCCAGATCTACACCATATGCCACTATATGGGGGTAGGGTTACCAAGTACCTACCTTTGAATCAGCAGGGGACACATGGTTCCCGGCCGGAACATCCCTCGGCATAACACACACACACACCACTGCACCATCCCATAGCCCAGACGTGATGCCAGCACACTGGCATCACGTCTGGGCAACGGCATGGTGCGGCACATTTGTTTTCCACACGGGAATGTTCCTGACAAGAACCATGTGTCCCCCGCCGATTCGAGGTAGGTACTTGGTAAGCCTAATATGGGGTGCTCAACCCTGTAATACAGAAATAAAGACTTCCAGGGAAGCCCAACATCACTGGGAGATTATGTGGAATGACTGATGGGGACAAGCAGATGGAGCCCTTAGTGTCTCATTCCTAGCAATGAGTAATCTCTGGTCCACAAGCATGCCAGTGAGCCAGGCGAGAAGTTCTCTTAGCTCCTCCATGGGCAGCTCATAGAGAAGATTGTTCCTCTGCCAGACTAGCAGCTTGAACATTTATTAAAAGACCTACACTCCCACCTCCCCCTTCCCCCAACCAAGCAATGGCTCAAGGCAGCTTAGCTACGGAATGTAAACCACACCCCGTAAATGTGTTAAAACTCTACAGGCCAGAAGGGGCTACTGTGCCATAAACAGCTGTACAAAACAGAGCACTCAGGCCAAAACGGAGCACTCAGGCCAGTGAGAAGAGGAAGTAGCTAAGATTTCAGATGAGTTCCTTGGCTAGAAATGGGTGTTTGGACCCGTGTGCTCAAAAGTTGAGCTGGAGAGGGGGCTTGGAGAGGGGGGTGCTTACGAAGGAGAAGCAGATGCTGAAGTCTGGAAGGACACATGGAGAGCAGAAGGCCTGAGAAAAGTATTCAGCCCTATACAAGAGGATGCCCTCTGCCTAGCACTCACGACAACAGAGATCCTGGAGCAATTCCAAACTTCCTCTTTGCCTGGCAGTGTGGGTTTGTAGCGGGGGAAGCACTCCTCAGCCTGGGCTTACCATATACCTGCTGATTTGGCAAGATTCATTTCACTCTATCTGAAGCTTGGCTCAAGTGGGGCTAGGGTGGGAATGATCTAGTGGTGCATCATTATTGCTGAGAACTCAGGAATGGCGTCCACCCTTCACGCTGTCCCCTACCAACTGGGTCCGGGGCACCTACGGCTTCTTTCTGGGATGCTCCCAGACCTCCCCCACCCCCACTGCAAGTGCTCACACCTGCTCTCTGTGCAACACAGTGGCATCACCCTGCATGCTGGCCCCAATCATGGGCTTCAACTCGTACTTCCTCCAAGTTCTACATATAACCCACCTGATCCAGTGGTCTGTATTGCTACTGTGTCTGGGTAGATGTCTGTGTGAATCTTGTTCTGATAGGGGACACAGTTCCTCATCCAGATTGTCTCCAAAGCAGCAAAATCCTCCTTTCTCTGATGAGTGTCCACGTCCACAAACATATTGCTCTGAAACTCTTTGCCCAGTTGGGGGTTAGGGGAATCTGAACTAGGAAGGGGGTGGAGAGACGTTGGAAGAGCTGTGGAAGGTTGCGCCTGCCAGCCACATTGGCTATCCTGTATGAAGCTGGTGGTTTGGACACCAGCACTGAGTCCAAGTCACTGCCACTACTTAAGGTTGTTCTGGTAACAAGAGTGTGGAGCACAGAACACTGGTGAACAATGTTCCCTCTAAGCTGTGGAGTCTTGTGAGCAAAATTTCTACTTTCTGAGCTACTGGCATTAAAGTTGTGAGCGAGCGATTCAGCTACTGCATTAATTAATTTGTTCTGGAGCCCTCCTTCCTGAGCTAAGACAAAAATGTGTGAGCCAGAGGCTAAAAAACTGTGAGCTAGCTCACACTAACTCAGCTTAGAGGGAACACTGCTGGTGAAGTGTGCACAGCTGTAAGCCCTGACGCAGTGACAGCTACACCTACAGTGGATGCAACCATCACTGCGTCGCTGTATTAATTATTCCCAGCATGCTTCCTTCTAACCTAACCACGTGCTCTGCTGGTTGTCCCCAGCCCAAGGGACATCCGCTTAGCCTCGGCCAGGGCTTTTTCTGCCCTGGTTCCAGCCTGGTGGAACACGCTCCCATCTGAGATCAGGGCCCTGCAGGACTTATTACCCTTCCGCAGGGCCTGTAAAATGGAGCTGTTCCACCAGGCCTCTGGCTGAGGCAGCGGGCGTCCAAAAGAACAAAGCAAAACTTGGCCTCCCCTGCGGAAATTGAAGCCTACTACTTCAGTGTGGCCCGGATCAATAAGATCTCAGAGACCCAATGGCGCTAGCTTGAAAATAACGTATACAGTGAGATAGTGTATGACCTGTTTTGTGTTTTATTTTTCTCTTTTAAATCTATGCTATTTTAAATTGTTTTTAATTATGTTGTCAAATTCTATTTATGTGTTTTAGAGTCTTACTGTGATCCGCCCTGAGCCCGCTTGCGGGGAGGGCGGAATATAAATTGAATAAAATAAATAAATGGTGGTTTAAACAAGCTGAAGTACCAAGCAGGACTGACTTTCTACTGGTTTGTTTAGTTCTCTCAGAAGAGAACAAAAAGAGAGAAAGAAGAAAACAGCGGAGAAAAACAAAGATGAAAATATATACTCCAATGTTAAATTGCGGGTTCCCTGTTACAGATGCCGCATACCACAAGAGGCTGGAGGCTGGCCAGCCAAAAATATTGGGGGGAGCTGCTCATTCATCTTAAATTGTCTCCAAAAGAGTTGGATACTTTCAAGAAGCTCTTCCACCTGGACCCTCTAGCTCAGCCCATATGGTGCAGGGGTTGAACGACTGGATTAGGAAAGGGGAGGCCCAGGTTTGAATCCCCAGTCTGCCATGGGACAGTCACGCTCTTGGCCTAATCTACCTCACAGGGTCGTCGCAAGGGTAAAATGGAGGACTGGAGAATGATGTAAGCCACTGGGGAGAAAGGTGGAATATAAATGAAGCAAGCAAAAATAGATACATGACCCTCTTTTATTCTGACATTGCAATAACATTATTTAAAACAATCTGCAAGACACAAGTGATGCAAGGATCCAGTCAGAGCCAGAGGAAGTGCAAGGCACTGGAGGAGATCCAAAAGGCTGAGGGAGGCCTGCCCGTCACCCCTTAGCTGGCCATTCACAACAGGAGGAACCAGGAATCAGCCAGAGTCCTGATACTGGCTCAGGCGTCCTTCCCAACATCAAAGGTTCTGACTGCCAGCTAAACCGGGAGATCAGTACCGGCCCGACAGAGCTTGCAGAAGGCAACAGAAAGGGCTGGCACAGATCGCAAAATTCGGCAATCTGCCACAAAATGCTGCCCTTCCCCCAGAGTCCACACTTTTTATTTTTGAAAAGCGAACAAGTTTTGGGTCTTCATGTTTGAAGGGTGACATCTAGTAAATGCCTAAAACCCAAACAGCTGGAGGATGTCCTTTTAAACTCCAAATTCTGGTTTCCCTCCACAGACAGCACTTCCTAGAATGCGAACAGTACACAGCTCAAAATAACTGCAGTTCCGGTCAAAGAGAAAATTCCTTCAGACTGCACAAAGAAAAAGAAATATGCCTATTATTCAGCAAACTGATGACATCTACAGCATGCTGGATTTTTAACACAAAAGCGTAGACTTTCTGCTTTGGAAGCACTGATTGCCATCTGGTACAATCTGGAAGGAGCAGGCTGTCTGCATCCAGTTTACTCCCTGGCAGGAGCAGCAGCTGAGGCCGAATCCAGGCCCTTCTCAAGTCCTCAGGGGAGGAAACGGAAGCCAAGCCCATTGGTGGGGGACCTGCCCAGTCCCATGTTCCGATACAGCAAAAGAGTCTCTTTTTCACAAAGGCGCTCAGACCCCAAACCAGAAGCCAAAGCAGTCTAGAGGCTGGAGTACCCGATCAAAAGAGGGGAGCCCTGACTTCAGAATGCCCAGGTGGCCACCTCAGCAGGACACTCTTCAGCCCACCTCACAGGGCTATCAGGAGCATGACGACGAGAAGGGAAAGACTGTGCACGCCACAAAGAGATTCTTGAGAAAACGTGGGATGATAATAAGCATGTGGAAAGGCGGGGTGAAAATAAGGGTGTGCACAGCTTCCCTGGGGGGCCTGGGCTCGTGCTGCAGCCCTCTTGCATAGGTCCAGTGAACCTCCCCCGGGAAGTAGCAGCGCTCCTGATCCCAAGACACAGAGGAAAACAGAGCTAGGGATGCTGTGCCAAAAACATAATTGGGGCCAGGGAAAAGCCTGTGTCTCCTTGAGTAACGGCGAAGGGAGGTCACCTTCCTCTGCTGCAGGCCTCAGTAGCCTTGACAGGCCTGAAGAGCCACGGAGCAAGCTGGGACAGGGAACTCCAACCATGGGAAAGCATCTTGCTGCACGAGACACCTCCCGAGGCCAAAGATCTATCTGATCCAGCCCAGTCACTCCCTGGCCTCCGTCCCTTTCTGCTCACCAGTGGCTCCTACTAGAGGGTAAACTGGATGCAGCAGCCCTGAGAACGATGGTTTCTGAAGGGCCAGAGTAGCGAGAGGGGGGAGGAGGACAACAGAAAGACACCCATGCTCAGCTGCCTTCAAGACTCCAGCAAGCTGGATTTCACCCCTCTGGACCCCCAGACGTTGGGCTGAGGGCTTGGATGCTTCTAAAGCCAATCGGAATCTGTACGCTTCTTTTCCTGAGCCTAGTCAGGCTCCCAGCCAACCTCACTAGCAGCACTAACCCTCCCGAAGAGCATCTTCCTTGTGCTGGCAGAGGGCACCGACCAGGCCAGGCCACCCAGCCCAAGCATCTGGCTGAGGCTGGGGAAAGGGACCTCCTGTGGCCAGGCCCCATCGAGAAAGGGGACACAAAAACCACATGAACACGGCAACCTTTATGATTTCTTGCCCCAAAGTCAACCCAGTATCGGCTCCCTAACAATATCCAGTATGTTGTGGCGTTCCACTGGTTTCTTTGGATAACGCCTGTACAGAAGACCCCCTAACTATTCAGCAGTACCAGGAAAGCTCTCTACATGCCCAGGAGCACTCTTGCTCTGCAGACCACCTGGGGGACTCCAGATTTCCTGATCAAGAGAAGGCAACCGAGCAGCTCGGGTTCGCCGGGAAGAGACCCGAGCCGGCTCCAGCTGACCCCCCGACCCCCCCTGCTAATTCCAGACCCGACCAGCTCTCCTGAAATGACAGCCCCACAGACGGGGTCGGGAGGGGGAACGTGTACCCCCCCCCCGGTCCCTTGCAGGAGCCCCAAGCCGCCCGAAGGGAGCCCGCCGACTTCAACGGCGGGCGCCTTCGACGTGCACCGAGGACTGGAGCCGTCGGGGAGGCCGCCTGGCCTCGCCATTCCTCTGTCTGGGCGAGGGGCGACGGCTGGAGGAGCGCTCGGGAGCCAGACCCGCCCGCCGAGCAGCAGCTGCGAGATGCGGCCGGGAGGAGGAGGAGGAGGGGGAGGCAGCGCTGCCG